TTCTCCAGGCTGAACCAGTCCAATTCTCACAGCTTTCATCATAGCAGAGGTGCTCCAGTCCTCTGATCATCTTCGTGGCCTCCTCTGGACTCTCTCCAACCAGTCTATATCCTTCCGATATTGTGGGCTGCGCAGCTGGACGCAGCACTCCAGGTGAGGTCTCACAAGAGCAGAGTACAGGGGCAGAATTTTAGTCTAGCTTTTAAGTGTTGGTTTGACTGATCCATACACAATTTTTAATTTACCCATACACTAACACTTTTATTATAAGAAAAAAAAACCCAAACAAACCAGACTGTGTCTTCACATACAGTAACAAACAAGCCTAAACAGTTATGACGTTATCAAGGCCAACAGCATTCCAGTCCAACTCTCCTTGAAAACAAGAGGACTCTGGCTTCAGTCAACTTCGTGAATGAGTTATTCCACACTAGTTTTGAAAAAAAATGCTTTCAATCCAATCTGGGACTGCACTTGCACAGCCTGCATTCCACTCGCTGCTGCACTCCCGTCTTCAGCAATTGTGTGCGCTGTGCGTGTACGTATCACAATGAGGCCATGCTCACCGATCATGGCTTTACAGATAGAACTGCGATGTTATTTCTGAATGCAACCTTAATTGCAATTCAGTCAAGGTGTTTTGACGAAGAACTGCTGCTTTCAGTGTCCAAACTTCTAGTGGATCAACCATGCCTAATGTGAGCTTCTAAACAGCACACCGACTGACAGACTGGGCCTTACCAGAGCTTCTTAAACACAGTTCTCAAGCAATTTGTGCAGCACAATGACATCCTGCTCTTGAGTGAGGCCTCATGCTTCAGGTGTGGTAAGAATATTTCTAGGGAAGTCCCCAAACAAAAAAGGCACCAGTGAAAGAAAGCATAAAGGAAGAAGGAGCACAGAGGATAAGGAGCAATAAACAGTCAGTCATATCTTGGTACCTGCACTTTTAATAAGTATCATATACCTTTAGACACCAAAGGTCACAGCTCAACCTGCGAAAAAAACACAACTCCAACAGTTTGGGTATGTAACTACCCCCATGCTTTTTGCAGGAAAGGTCTGTACTGTCTAAGGGCTATCAAAAGTTGAGATGCTTCCAAAGGCAAACTGTTTATTCAGAGGCAGATTTGATCAGGGCTCATGTTTTCCAAATGGCAGCTAGCTTGCTTGGGCCCTTTAAAAATCCCTTTCTCTAGAACTCATCCGCTGGGCTGTGTGGGCTGCATATTTTAAGCAGCAGAAAACTACGAAGTCAAAAGCAAATAATTTGTTTCTAAGAGAAGGAAAAGACAAAGAGCAAGAGTTAACACTGCAGATCACTGCAAGCTTCAGAGAATACAAAACAAGTGTTTTAATGAGAGCTAAAAATACTTTCTCCTATGAGTGCTTGCTCTTCTGCCAGAAGCATGCAATACACTGAGAAACATGTTTGCAGAATCAAAATATTTATAATACTATGAAGAAGCAGTCCCTGCGTTATTATAGCTGGCAAAATTAGAACTAGTTTTCATAATACAGACAAAAGATTATCACCCACAGACAAAAGAGAAGATTGGCTTTGTTGCCGAATGTTAAACAGGAAACAGCGTGTTTTCTTTAGATCACCTGACAGTTACCTTGGTGTAACTACCAATATAGTTATAGGACAAAATACAATTTTATTTTCTAACCTCTTTGCTATGTGACAGAAGTGAGTTGTGTTAGAATGCACTCTGGGAAAACCGGAACAGAAGGGCTGTGCAAACAAAGATGAAGTCACCTGGCCTCCTTGGAAGTTTTACAAATTTTGCATTCTATACTCAAAAGTCTGAGGTCAACTCGAAATTCAGTACAACTCTACATTGGTAGTGCAGGGGAACACAGAAAGCTAAACATTTTTAATCATCAGACTTCATAGAAACTTTTATTGAAAGTGTCAAGCTCGGCTTCTTTCCTTTGTTCATTTCAAGCATTGGAAAATCTTACTTCTTTTCAAGGGGGGGAAAAACTAAAGAGAAGTGATTTAAAGTCATGAATAGAGTGACAATTCACTTTTGAAAGTCCAAGTTTTCTTGCCATATTTAGCTAATGCCGAAACAGTGTCTACAGCAACATCAACAGTACAGCTGTGAGGTTGCCAATACTGGCTCCTCCTGTGAAAAGCACTTGTTTTCCTTTTTTTTTTTCTTAAAAGTCTTTTCTTCACTTTCCCCCTTCCAAAGACATAAACCAGCAGAAAACAGTTAACTGTTTTGTGCAGTTGTCAGGCAAAGGAATCTACAATTTTATTTTGTGGCACAGTTGCGATTTGCATATTAACCTAGCAAAAATTTAATGGAACATGTTATAGTATTTGCAACATTGGAACAGTAACTTGTTCAGCAATCATAAATTGCCAGCTTCTGCATTTAATTTATCTTTTAATTGCTCTCCTCTGTTTTAAGCCAAGAAAGAAAACGAAAAAATGATACAAGAAAGTGCTGGCCGCACTGCTGTACCATAAAAATTCTGCCTTTAAATCAGGCACAGAACTGAGACAGATTAGGTTTTCAGAAATGTTGCTCAATACCCTCAAAAAGCCAGTTACGTAGTTTGTTTAACTACAGTAGGCAAATCTCTTTCAGTAAGAGAATCATAAAGCAGGAAAAGTGGAAAAATAGCATTCCAAGTGCTGAAAGCATTTATACTGTCTATGTTACTTGATTTATCAGCTGCAACTTCAGTTCTTCCCCCTGAATGTCTCCCTTCTCTTCACACTAATTAAAAGCTGGAACAGAGCAAGACAAACCCTTGGTGCTACAAGCTGGTTCTGTGAACTGGGGGAGCTTGGCTCATGCCACAGTCACCAACAGTGGGGCTGCTGGAGATGCGCTTTCCTTCCCCAAAAGGGAAAGTGAGCTGTAATGGTTATTAAGGACTAACAGATGAAGTGGGAGGATTCTAAAGTCTTTGGTTCATCTGCAATAGCAACTGCCTCCAACCTTCTCTTCCCACAGGCATCAGCAAAAAATATCTGCCCTTGCCATCCTCCTCTCTGATATATCCTGCTTACCTACCCATCCAACTTCTTCACTCTATGTCATTTCATTAAAAAGTGACCCAACAGATAATTTATGACTGTAAATTATCTTCCAACCTTCACCCTGTCCTGTGTATTTATATTTTAAGCATGTTAAGAGTGGGGATTTTTGTGTTACTCACTGTAACACAACACACCAGAATACTGCCTTCAGTTGACCCAGCGGCATGCAGCAACAAACGCATTACAAACATTCTGTTAATTCTTCAGGTTTTGTCACAGTATAGGGAAAATGGACAGAGGTGACAGCGCCCATGAAATTACATGTAGTTCAAGTGTCAGCATTGTCACATCTAGAAACATAACAGGGACAATTCATATTCATTTCAGGACTGCCCAGAAACCGGTTTCAAGACCACGTACGCTGAAGAGCAAGCAAAAGAGGACATACGGAAGTTTCTGCTGCCCTTAAACAGCTATTTAAGTTCACCTTATACATCTTCAAAAACTCTTCACTTTGTTCTTTATGGTGGTGTAATAACTTTAAAATGCCTATGAGGTACTGCCACGCCATCAAGCCTGGAAGAGAAAAACTTAGATTTGCCTTGGTAAGTTTGGAGCTTTACAGATACATAAAGGACATTAATAGAGCACAAAGTGAGCTCTAAACCAAGCATTGTCACGCTTTAAATTCAGAACATGCATAATGTGGATGGATAGGTTATAGGCACTGCATATAAATCTAGTACAGTGAGCTAATACCATCAGCATAATCACTAGAGCAAAATGTTTTGTCACCTAAGAACAGACCCACGAGCAGCAAGTGTCCACACAAGTGCTGTTTAATTACAAGGCTTCCAAAGAGCTGGTTATGTCTTCCTGGAATAGGCAAATCAATAGCAAAATGATCATTGCCTCCTACCCTGGTTAAAGACTTAGCCTAGACCATGTCACACCACAGTTCTCCCCAGAACTCCTCACAACAGAAAAGAGCTGCAACCAAAACTACTGATATTCAAAAAATCATGCGTGTACACCATGAAAATTAGCTCTTAATAGAGGCTCATTTGTTAACGTTTGACTGTCACTTTGCCTGTTGTCACAACTTTCCACTAACATTAATTCCAGCAGTTTGGAAAACACTGGCAGTAGGTACCTTATATTCTAGAGAAAGTGTTTAGCAATTAAAACTAGCACAAAAAGCTGGGACTTGCACTTCAGCTTTTTTTGTTTGTTTTTTTTTTTTTTTAAGAAAACATCGAAGTCAATGAACTTGCATAAAAATGAACTTTATCCAAGTATGGCCCATTACCAACTGCCTTATCAGCCCGTATCTCAGACGTATTCTGACCCATAAGTAAGTGGTACTTCATTACACTAGATTACATTAAACTTGTGTCTTCCCTGCTTGCTCCGAATCAAATGATCATACTGGTTTTCCCAGAGCACTGCAAAAGGTGTTTTGAAAGATCCAAGGCATTTGAGTTTGCCTAATGTCTAAGTCAGGCTGCAGTCTCATTTACAGGCAATCATGGTCACTTGCTACAATTCAAAAAAAACCCAAAACTTCCTCAGCCCCTGGGAATTCAGATATATTTCCCAGAACCCCAAAGGTAAACCTAACCTACTCATGAAAGTAAGATACTGAGCAGCAAAAATGGAATTAGAGTAGCAAAGATCATAACTAGCTACTGCATGGGGTCAGGAAGCAGACACAGAGGTAATGCATGTACTCCTGTAATTATGTCCTACTGTTGTTCCTTGCCTTATTTTCCAGTAAATAAAACAGACAGATATTGCTTCTGTCCCACCTTTTCTATCACATTTTCAAAAGCTCCTGCCATTAAAACTGTTGGTGCACATACGCACGCAGACATCATCCCACCTAGCAGAGCAGCTTGTTCAGTAAAGAAATATACATATGCATTCTGAAAACAGGATTTTATTGGAGGCTTATCAAAAAAGTCTGAAATCTTATTCAGGCAAGGCACTTCAGACTTTAGTCCCTTTTCTTTTTAGCTTTGGGTTCTTGTGACAGCAGAGACAGTTCACTTTCTTCCACTTCATCACAGTGCTTTCTTTTCTTTTTCTTTGACTTTTTACGGTCACTTTGGTAACCACTGGAGTCACTGGTAGGCAAAATATGTTCCTGTTGCTCTTGCTTATGCTTTTTCTTTTTCTTCTTCTTGTTTTTATCCTCACATAATCCATTCATATTATCAACACTTTGCTCTTCTGCATTTTCCCTCCCAGTGTTATCCATCTCACCTAAAGGTTCCTCTGTGACATTATCTCCCCCAGAGTCATTCAAGCCATTTTCCTGGTGGTCAAGCTTCTGAATTTCATCCCCATTTGTACTGTCAGTCACTGTCTCAGATTGCCTGGGCTGCATGCTGTGAAGAAATATACAAAAGAAGCTGAAGTGGAGACATCTAAGTGCACCTCACACAGTGAAATGTCAAAATTAACTACAACACACTACTTACACCAAGTAGATAAAAGATAAGCATTTGCTAAAAACAACAACAAATGGACAACATGATACTCTAGTCACAGAAAATCATAATGCCAGTTTTAATACTTTCGGGGTAATTTCTACTACCCGACTAGCCTCCTTCTTAGCACAGAATCAATATTCTCTTTCAAGTCTTAGCCAAAATTTCTTCTCTACAATGCTGTACAGACCATTGTGATACTTCCTCTTTTCTTGTACTCCTTCATCCATTAATTCATAATTACACATTGTGTAGAAAAGCTTTTTCTTCCGCCAAGTTATTCACAAACACGCACAGCCAACGGCCTGTCCAACCATACATGAAACACTGCTGGTTCTATCAAGCAATTGCCTTGCTGAAGTCTATACAGTTAAAGATGATGCCAGAAAAGCCAAGAAAACAAAAATCCAAACAAAATCAAAAAACACAGCAGGTAACTTGCAACTGAGGGCACTGAAGAAAATGTCTAGGTAGATAAATATGGGAAGAATGCAGTTAAAAACTATGGAGGAGGAGATGTCTCCACAGGCACTGAGGACAAGATTGCTAAGTTTCATTGCAAGTTCACTGAATCAATATTAAGATTTTGACATTAGTAGTCATATTGTACATTTAATTAAAAACATAACCACACTGGTAGAAAACAATTGCTCAGCAAATGACAGATTAAAACAAAATATCTGAACGAATACTTAAAAGATATCATTATTAAAAGTTTTAGCAAGCTGCTCTAAAAAACTACACACATAAGTGAAAGGAGGCGGGTCATGCATCTTCTCCTATCATCTTTGATACTCTTACGTTTCAGCAAGCATTTAAGCCATGCACATATAACTACCTGTGGTCATGTAATGTGCGCGTGCGCGTACACACTGATGTGAGTGTTGTGTTGAGGAACTGGAGTGTTGTCACTTGAAAAGCCTATGCACATTCTCAAACACAGCTCCTCTAGACATTTGAGTATGCTATTTCAAACGTACCATCTATGCAATCAACAATTCATAGGTCAGCATGCTCACATTTTCAAAGCTCAAAAAAAAAAAAAAATCTACTTTTATTTTTCCAGAGGAAACTTCCACATGAGTCCTTAACATGAGAAAGTTTAGTTTAAGATAACTAACACAGGCTATGTACAGACATGGGTTTGTATAAAAATACAAAAGCTTAAAAGATTAAGACGGTAATTCAAACCATTTAGCTTGTAAAAAACCCAATAAAACAATTTACAATATTTTCTAGTAGGGCACAATACCTGCTTTTGGTGAGTTCTCCTCGAATGAAGAACACCCCAGCTGTATCAGAATCTAAGTGCAATACCTGAAATTTCAGTTCATCCCCGATTTTAAACCCCAGCTGTTGCCACTGTACAACTGACATCTGTTGAGGTTTAGGGATAGAAGCATTGAAGCATCCATGTATCAGGCAGCCAATATGACTAGGGGCCACTTTATTAATTACACCCTAAAAAAGAAAAAGCATGTCATGAAGCTATAGTAATGATTATCTCTTTAAACCCACACGATACATGTTTACTTTCCTATACGGACATTTTTCGACAAGTTTACGCACAAGTTATGAAGTCAGTTTATCTAGCAAATCCACTAACTCTTCTTTACTAAAATCAAAGTATCCCTATATACTCTTCATACAATTCCTCCCAAAATAGAACTCAACCTGTACTTTCAAGAAAAAGTAAGTCAAAACATGGGATTTAGCCATAATGAGTACCTGAATATAACAGGTTAACTCTTGCCCCAGAATTACAGCCATCAACTTTTTTTTTAAAGACATTTTAAGTCTGATTTAATGGCCTAAAACGGCCCTTATACTGGCACAACACTACTTAACAGCAGCTAAAAATATAGATGACGTAAAAAGTTTGAGAACTCCATTCAGTGGGTTTCTGATACATTCACATATCAAACGTTATTCATCTTTGTTTTCCCATTGTTTTCTGAGGGTTTTCCCATTCTCTTCATAGCAAGAGGGCACACTCATTTCTTAATCACATTTAGAAATACACAAGCGATGCCGCGAAAGGCGTGGCACGACGACAGATGTAAGGCAACTCTCAGCGTGTGTTTCGCAGAAGTACTGATGCAAGGGCATTAGCAAGCTTAAAGCTGTTCTGTGAGCAATACACTGAAAGGCAGGCTTCAGCCTGCTGTACTGCTCTGGCATACTAAGGAAATAAACTCATGAGAGCTTCCTAAACATTCCTGGCACTATTAAATAAAAACAAACACCCCTGTTTGAGAACTACCTGCTTTTCAGAAAGAAACATAACATAAATGGTATGCAAAATTATTATGTATTGTTTAATAATACGTAATCCTTAGAATATTTTAATAATACATAAGTATTGTATCTATTTAACAAATACAGGGGCACAGAGTACAGATATAGGAAAATAAAAACTACTACGACAAACTGCTAATAAACTACTCATACACGAAGAAACTACTAATATAAACTAAAATATAACTCCACTTAGGTCCAGTCCTCTGAGGATGATGGAGATAAGCCAAGCTTTGATTACTTAATAAAAATAAATGCTCCACGAGATGTCAACACGTCTACATACCACCAGTTTTTTCCCTTTTCTGGGGCTGAAGATGACGAAATCTGCCTCGATGTTCAGGTGGATGAACCCTTGGTCATCGTAGATGTCCCCCAGCTCACCCACCACCTTGATGTTGTCGTAAGCCAACGGCACGCCCTGAAAGCTGGAAGAAGGGGAGGCGGTACCGTTAGCTGTTAGGCCAGAGACCCGCACCACCGGGGCATGAGGCGCTCCCCCGGCCGCGGCGGGCCCAGACGGCGACACGGAG